CTCTCTCTCTCTCTCTCTCTCTATTTTATTTTATTTTTCGTCATCGCCATACAAAACCCGCAGGTCCTCTTCCTCCTCCTCTTCTCCTTCTCCTCGTCTCGACTTCTTCTTCTTCACTCCTCCTCCTCCTCCTTTCGCCTTGTCCTTCTCCTCCTCCTCCTCCTCTCGTCTTCTTGTTCTTCTCTCCTCCTCCTCCTCCTCGTCCTTCCTCGTCCTTTTTTTTGTCTTCCGTCGTCTCCATGCAGTACCGGCAGGTCCTCCTCCTCCTGCTCTCATCTTCTTCTTCTCTCCTCCTCCTCCTCCTCCTCTCGTCTTCTTCTTCTCCTCCTCCTCCTCCTTTCGTCTTGTCCTCCTCCTCCTCCTCCCCCTCCTCCTCTCGTCTTCTTCTTTTTCTCTCCTCCTCCTCCACCTACTTATTCTTCTCCTTCTCTCCTCCTCCTCCTCCTCCTCCTCCTCCTCCTCAACCTCGTTCATCATCGTCTTTTTTTTTTTCGTCATCCACATACAGTACCGGCAGGTCCTCCTCCTGCTCCTCCTCCTCCTCTCGTCTTCTTCTCCTTCTCTCCTTCTCCTCCTCCTCTCATCTTCTTCTTCTTCTCTCCTCCTCCTCCACCTACTTATTCTTCTCCTTCTCTCCCCCTCCTCCTCCTCCTCCTCGACCTCCTTCCTCATCGTCTTTTGTTTTTTTTCCCCCTCATCCACATACACTACCGGCAGGTCCTCCTCCTCCTGTTGCTCCTTTTCCTCCTCTCGTCTTCTTCTTCTTCTCTCCTCCTCCTCCTCCTCCTCCTCCTCCTGCTGCTGCTGCTGCTGCTGCTGCTCCTCCTCTCGTCTTCTTCTTCTCTCTCCTCCTCCTCCTCCTTTCGTCTTGTCCTTCTCTCCTCCTCTTCCTCCTCTCGTCTTCTTCTTCTTCTCTCCTCCTCCTCCTCCTTTCGTCTTGTCCTTCTCTCCTCCTCTTCCTCCTCTCGTCTTATTCTTCTCTCCTCCTCCTCCTCCACCTACTAATTCTTCTCCTTCTCTCCTCCTCCTCTTCCTCCTTCTCGACCTCCGTCGTTGTCTTTTTTTTTCCGTCATCCACATACACTACCAGTAGGTCCTCCTCCACCTCCTCCTCCTCCTCCTCCTCCTCCTCCTCCTCGGTGTCCTCTTCGTTTCGTCTCCTCCTCCTCATCGTTCTTAGCTTGGTTTTTCTTCTTTCTTCTCCTTTCTTCTCCTTTCTTCTTCTTCTTCCTCTGCTTTCTTCTTTTTCTTCTTCTTCTTCTTCTTCTTCTTCTTCTTCTTCTTCTTCTTCTTCTTCTTCTTCTTCTTCCTCCTCCTCCTCCTCTAACCCCTCCCCTCAGCGGACTGGCTGCTGAAACACACCCTTTTAAAAACTTGTCAACCCCCCACCTCCCTCCTCCCCTCAAACTCCTTCCTCCCCCCCCCGACCACCCCCCCAACACACATGTCTTTCACAAGTTTCTCTGTGGATTTGGGCTCCTCTCAGTGAGCGCAGTCCAACCCCATCTTCAAAAAAAATAAAACAGCATTCCTCGGATATTTTTGGCTCGTCTGGTTTTGTCGGACGGACCCCCCCCGTTTCGTCTGCCCCCGTCCGTCAGGCCCAGTCCATCTGGACAGGGCGTCGGCCTAACCCAGCACATTCCCATACACACATGCAATTACAGAGTAGACTCGGAGGAGGCAAATCCACACAAAACCGGAGAGAGGATATGCACAGCGGAAGCTCGAAATACACAAAGAATTGAAAAACGAATTTCAATTATGTAATCCCCCGTCCTCCTCCAATCAATCCAAAGTACTTGTTCCAAGAATCACAACCGTGTTTACAACAACCCCGAACAACCAAAAACAAGTGTTCAACGAAGTCTGCAGGAGTCTTTTTCTTCCTCCTCGCCACCTGATACCCCTGGCTATGACTGCTGTAGCAGCAGTAACCCCACAACTGTCACAGCCTGCCAGTCTGAACCAGCAACCCCAATAATAGCAGCGCCGGCTCAGCACCTGCACGGCAGTGCAGCGCTGGAAGTCCTAATGAAGAAGGAGACAACCGATCCAGCACTTTGAAGAAGAGGAAAAAAAAAAACGGAGTTCCTCATGAGGAGGAACAACAGATATGGCTGCCAAGTGAAGGAAGACTGCCTCAAACCCAACAACACGGTCTTGTGGAAACTCTCGTGAAGAGCTGCTGAATAGCAGTAGTGCGACTTCCAACTTCATATCCCAGCCCCAACTATGGCTGGCCTCGAGGAAGAAGATGCCACTCTCTTGATGATTATGCAGACTTAGCTCAAGAGTCTACTGGACTTGTTCATAGGCAGACCAAACATTGCACAGTGATCCTACCTGACTCAACCCCTCCCAAGGGCAAAGTCTATAGGATGTCTCCTGCTGAGTTGGATGAGTTAAGGAAGCAATTAGAGACACTAACTGAGAAGGGTTGGATCAGGCGCAACACATCTGAGTATGGGGCACCAGTCCTCTTTGTTCCAAAAGGAACTGGTGAACTCAAGATGGGTATTGACTATAGGGTCTGAACAAGATCACTAGGAAGAGCTCAGAGCCCTTGCCTAGGATCGTCAGATCGAAATGGTTGAGGAGGATGTTGCTAAAACAGCCTTCAAAACCCAGTATGGTACCCATGAGTTCCTAGGCATGCCTTTTGGGTTGTGTAATGCACCATGAACCTTCCAAACAGAAATGAACAGAAATTTCAAATCATTTCTTGATTGTTTTGTGGTGGTCTATCTGGATGATATTTTGGTGCTCTGCAAGAATGTTGTTTACCACACTGATCATCTCATAAAAGTTCTGCAGATTTTGAGGGAAAACAAATACAAAATAAATACAGAAAAAATCATCTTTTGGTGCCTTTTTTGTTTTGTACTTGGGACATGTGATTTTTGCAGATGGTCTTTCCCCAGAAGACTCCAAAGTGGTTGTTGTTAGGGATTGGCCACAACCACAGACTGTTAGGAACATTAGATCTTTCATAGGTCTAGCATCTTACTATAGAAAGTTTATCAGAAACTTTTTTACTTTGGTCACTCCCCTGACTAAGCTGTTGGCAAAAGATGTTCCTTTCAGATGGACACCCACATGCCAATTGGCTTTCTCCAAATTGAAGAAAGCCTTGACCCAAGCACCCGTGTTGAGGCTTCCTGACCCCACCTTGCCATTTGTGTTGACCACAAATGCAAGTCAGTATGGTGTAGGGGCTGTCCTTCAGCAAGATGATGGGTCTGGCCTCAAGCCTGTGGAGTTCATGAGTAAGAAAATCAAGGCATAGAAAGTTCAGGCATTTATTTATGAGAAAGAATTGTTTGCCCTTGTGTGTGCCCTCAATATGGAAGCACTTCTTATTGGGAAGACACTTCAAGATCTACTCTGACCATTCGACCTTGCAGTGGGTGAAAACCCAGAGGGAGTTGAACGACAAGTTGGCGAGGTATATTCAATTCATTGATTTCTTTGACTTTCAACTGAAACACAAAAAGGGATGCTATAACAAAGTAGTTGATGCTCTTTCTCGCAGGCCTGATACTTTTGTTGCTATTGCTCATACTTACTCGTTTGGAGACTCCACACGCCAGGCTATTGCTGATGCGTTGCCTCAGGACCCTGTCTTTGGCCCTATTATTAGGAATCTGTAGGTGGATCCCAATTCTGAGTCCGCCTATGCCTTGACTTCAAATCTCCTATACACCATCAGTGAAGGAGAAGAACGCTTGTGCATTCCTAATGATCGCAAGATCATAACTCATTTGATTTCAGAGAGTCATGATGCTCGAGGTCATTTTGGGTTCCTAAGGACTTATGTTGCCCTGACCCAACGCTTTTATTGGTCAAGAATGAGGGAGGATATTCTCAAGTACTTAGAGATGTGCGAGTTATGCCAAAGGACAAGGTCCATAGATGACCTCCAATGGGGTTACTCAAACCATTGCCTATTCCAAATGGTCCAGGTGAGTCAGTATCCACTGACTTTACTGGTTGAGGCAAGACCACCCCTCGTGGCATGAGGCAGGTAATGGTATGTGTTGATCGTTTCTCTAAGTTTGCCGAGTTTATTCCCTTACCTGTTGAGGCCAGAGTTCCTCTGGTGAGAGAGTTGTTTGCTGAGACGTGCCCAACCTCTATTGTTAGTGACAGAGACCCTCGGTTTTCCAGCGATGAATGACAATCTTTCTGTAAAGACTACCTCCATTCCAGGCTAGACATGAATTATGGCAGATATCTTGAAGCCAATGGACAGGCTGAAGTGATGAACCAAGTCTTGTTTCAGTTGCTGCGTCCTGTGATCACACCTGATCAACAGGACTGGGATAAGCATCTATCAAGGGTTCAACTTATGTATAATACTTGTTCACAGCACTACAGGCTTTACACCCTATAGGCTTCATTTTGCCAGGGACCCACGACAACCTCTTGACGATCTCATTGACAAGACTAAGCCTAAACTAACTCCTGGGACTGCAGAGTTCACCAAGAGTTATGAGAAGGACCTAGAGAAAGCCAGGACAAGCATGTTCAAGGTTAAGAAAAGGATGATAGAACAGGCTAACAAGCATCGTTCTCCCTCTCCTATTCGGCCTGGTCACTGGATCTGGGTGAAAAGATCAAGAGTTAACTGATGAACAGGATATATCACGAAAGTTGTTGCATGTGTACTATGGCCCATGGAAGGTACTTGATACAGTGGGAGCAGACCCATTTCGGCCTTCCTATGTACTTGTTGTACCCCCACATATCAGGACCTATCCAGTCTTCCATGCTTCAAAATTGTTGCCTTTCACTCCTAGTGACGTGTTTCCTGATCGGCCACCGCAGTTTGGACCTCCTATCCCTGGAAAGGGATATGAAGTTTAGAGCATTGAGGACCAATGGGGCACTAACCCCAACTGGGAATATCTTGTCAAGTTCCTTTTCCAACCTCATACCGGACCGTTGGTTCACAAGAAAGGAACTTCTCAAGTCTACAAACTCAGTCGTGCTTTTCTACGAGGCTGAGCAAAGTGGGAAATTCCCCAGGCGGTCTCCTCGTGGACACTCCTAGCTCGGGGTCCTCGCTCCCCGGGAGGGTATGAATGCAATGAATTGCAGTGCTACAAGCGGGTTGTATACTAATTTCGTCCCTATCGTCGTTGTCAGGACTTGATCCCGCAACCTTTGTCTATTGTGTTGCCTGTTTGTTTGCTGTTTGTTTGTGTTGAGCCTTGCGGGACTTGATCCCTGAGTCTGTCACTAGTAGTCTCTGTTGGTAGTCCTAGGCCATTCAGCCTTTTTCTTTTGCCTTGTCATAGGTCTAGGTCCCCTTTTCCCCTGTTTCCATCTAGATACAGATGAGTCTTGGCTTGTTGCCTTTGGAGTCCGTCGTAGGTCTAGGCAGAGGGTAGAAGTAGCGGGCAGGAAAAGGAGTTCGGGCCTTTCCCTCGTGTTTTCGGCTGGGGAAACTCTGCTCATTCGTTATCGAAGCGTTGCTGCGTTATTTCGGGCAAGGGTATCTTCTTCCTCGAGGCCAGCCATAGTTGGGGCTGGGATACGAAGTTGGAGGTCGCACTGCTGCTATTCAGCAGCTCTGCACGCGAGTTTCCACAGGACCGTGTTGTTGGGTTTGGGCACCGCCTTCCTTCACTTGGCAGCCATACCTGCTGTTCCTCCTCATGAGGAACTCCGTTTTTTTTTTTCTCTTCTTCGAAGTGCTGGATCGGTTGTCTCCTTCTTCATCAGGACTTCAAGCGCTGCACTGCCGTGCAGGCGCTGAGCTGGCGCTGCTATTATTGGGGTTGCTGGTTCAGACTGGCAGTTTGTGACAACTGTGGGTTTACTGCAGCTACGGCAGCCATAGCCAGGGGTATCAGGTGGTGAGGAGGAAGAAGAAGACTCCTGCAGACTTCGTTGAACACTTGTTTTTGGTTGTTCGGGGTTGTTGTAAACGCGGTTGTGATTCTTGGAACAAGTACTTTGGATTGATTGGAGGAGGACGGGGAATTACAGAATTGAAATTCGGTTTTCAATTCTCTGTGTATTTCGAGCTTCCACTGTGCATATCCTTCTCCGCCTTTGTGTGGATTTGCCCCCTCCGAGTCTACTCTGTAATTGCCTGCGTGTGTGGGAACGTGTGAATTAGTTGTGGATGGAATTTCAATCGGGTACATAACAATGGGATCAGGATAATGATTGAAACTTTTTTGTAGTTTGTTTTCTTTTTTTTTTCACTATTTTCTCATTTGTTCAATACACTGAGGAAGGACATGGATATACGTCATCAGCAACGCTTTGGTGCGTGCACTGCGGGGCCTGATGCCCTAAAAAACGCACGTTGTTCTGTAACTACTAGCTGAAGAGCAATAGCTGTCACACCTGGATCCAGTAGAGCAGGGGTGAGCAGAGGTGAATCCTTCTTTTTTAGGTTCGACTAATCGATCCCGCTGTCCAAGTATTCCTCGGCCATAACGGAGGAACGCAGGGAGTGGGTTAGCTACGTAAGGGACGCGGGACCTGTTTTCAGCAATAAATTAATCGTCTACGTTACAAGAGTGGCCTGGGAACACTTGCCCGGCCGGGCCAAAAAGTGGCAAAAACGATTTTATTTTTTTAAATATGTGAACCGACAGTCTGTAGAGTTTTCCATCTGGTGTGGGTGAGTGACAGTCTGCTTTGATTTTCGTCACAGGTACCTTGAGGGCAGTGGTTGGTGCCCACCTCAGGGTATCAGTTGCCGGGCAGTCGTTGATGCTTCATGCTTAACCACAGCCGGGGTTAAGGTGGATTATCACTTACAGTGTAATCAGTCAGGGGATTCTGCAGACTGTTCGAGGTTTCCGCCTCCTTACGAGTCAGTCGGTGAAACTCCGACAAAACAGTTTGTCACAGCCCCTCGTTTGTTGTCCTCTTCTCCCTCTCTGCCTACGGTTTACCGGGCAGTTCTATTTGACGATATATACAACGACTTCACTAGCACCCTGCTACGGTTTTCTCCGGTCAGGTTGAGCGGCAGTGATCGGGGTCGTCTACGCGGCCATGCTGTGCCTCTAGTGCCATATATTAATTTGGCCGAAGAAAATCATTTCGACGTGACCCTGAGGCAAAAGTTGTTCAGTTTATTTTTCTGCACACTATAGTTCTTTTTTCGGAGTTCTTGGATTTCTTTTTTATTTTAATTGCTTTTGACAAAACTACGGTGCATTCAGGGTTTGAGTTTGAAAATGCACTCCGGGCAAACGGCCTGAAATTGTCGGATGTATACAAGCTAGGTTTCAGGTCCGATAGCGTCACGTGGGGGTGGGGGGGTGTGGGGGTAGTTATGTTCGGGGGAATGCCTGAAGTGCATTTTCAAACTGTTTTCATGACTGCGCCATAGTTAGTTACCCCTTAATTTTTTTTACAGGGCCCTTCCCTGGCCCTTCCCCAGCCAGGCCGCCTGGGCCACCAAGGTGACCCCAACAGCCCAGTTGGTGACGCAGGAAATAACCGATTTTTGTTTAGGCCCTTTACGGCCTTTAGGGGGACAAAAAGAAACTCTAACGCTGTCTTTGCAAGAGCAGAACCCCCTCTGCCCCCTCATCCAAAAAAGACAAATGAAAGAAAGGTTAATGTGATGGTCTATGGAACCGGTTCCCAGCACGTGCTGCTCCCCACGAATAGACTGGAGCATTGGTCCCTTAAAAAAAAAAAAAAAAAAAAAAAAAAAAAAA